ACCAGCAAAGCACATTTTAGTTCACATTTGATCATTTCAGGCCTGAGACCTGAGGGCCTTCACTGAAGTTTGTCTTGATTGCATGCAGGAATGGGGAAGAAACTCAATTCAATTTGCACTTAAAGGTGAACCTGCCAAATCCACATTTTTTTAAAAAAATATCTGTGAATGAAAACATGATCATCCTTTGAAAAATCAAACTTTTCTGAATTTTGCAATGCAGTTTTCCAGCTGAGCAAAGTGTACAATGATGCATGGATCAAGGCAAAGTATGCGTACAAATGCCTAAGTCAGTGACAACAACGTACATAATGCATTGTATTCAGGAAAATTGTCTGCAAAATTGTGCAGTTTTTGTCAAAACTTCATGTGTTTATTATGAGAAGTTTGCAGTAAAATGCTGAATAATTTTTATAAGGATAAAAAAGCACAAATTGCTGCAGAAACGCGGAGAACTGAATTTAAGATTGTAAAAAACGAGAAACTGAGTTAGCCCATTAATTGGCAGATTTGTTTCTCCCTCATTGTGTGAAGAACATTTGCATGGACAAAGTAGGATCCTATGGGAGATTATGGCACTATCCTAAGGTGAGGTAGTGGAGCTGGAACATGGGAGCATTCAGCTCCAGAACTGTTTTCATATCACTGATGTTTGGATGAAAAATTGTCTGTCTGCCCAATATGCTATTGCTGTGGTGGTTGCTTTATATTCTAATTTTCTCCAAGGAGCTCAAGGCGGCATGCACAATTCTTCAACTCTACATTTTATGTAGAAAACAACCCTGTGAGGTAGGTTGGTGTTAGTGACTGGCCCAAGGTGACCCAGTCAGCTTCGTGGCTGAGTGGGGATTCAAACCTTTACCTCTCAGGTCCTAGTCCAGCATTCTAACCACAACACCACACTAAGGAGTCACCAGCATTATGCCACTGCTGCAGTTGAGGAGTCCATGGTATGGCTCCTGGGCGTATATTTCAAAGATATGCTGTATTGCCATTTGTTCTTATACAGCAGCGGAGGCATATCGCTTTATATTGTGAGTGCAGATGGGGCTTTGGCTGAGCAGAAGATATTACATGCTACAGTCGTACCTTGGAATTCGAACAGAATCCATTTGACTTCCAAAACGTTCGTAAACCAAAGCACGGCTTCTGATTGGCTGCAGGAGCTTCCAATCAGAAGCCGCAGAAGCCCAGTCAGATGTTCAGCTTCTAAAAATACTTGCCAAACTGTAACGGTCACTTCTGGGTTTGCGGTGTTCAGGAGCCAAAACCTTCGAGAACTAAGCTGTTTGAAAACCAATGTATAAGGGGTTTACCAAGAGTGACACAAATAATGCCTCTTTAGACTGTGCTGCAGCGCTTGTGAACAAGCAGAGGAGAGCCATTTTCAAATTAAAAGGACATCCTAGCAGCAGTGTACATTTTGCTACCTCAGCTAAAGGCACCAGAATTGCAAAAGCCCATTGAAACCCCCCTTGTGAATATGGCCAGGTCTCAGAAAGGAAAGGAAAACCTGAATAATTTTGAGGAAGTGTTCTCTTTTTAATGTATCGTTCTGGATGCTTTTTCCTCACAGCAATTGCATAACTGACAGACTTCTCTGTAGTTTATTATACCCATTAGTCAAGTCCTGTATTCCCCAAACTGAGCACACCTAGTAGTTTTGTGGTGAGCTGCGCTCTCCATTTTGAGCATCTTATCCACAGTATTTAAAGGAGTGCATCCCATGGATACTTCACAGAGGTTGTGCTTCACCCTGCTTAGGAAGCTTGAATGGCAGTGACCTAGAGGCACTGTATCCCACATTTGGAGACATTGGTGTTATCCTTCTCACCCATCACAGCTTTTGTATGAACCCAACTCCCTTAAGCTTCACAAATACCGGTTTGCCACTGCAGAGTTGATGGAGGACATGGGGTTAGGCAAAGGTCAAATAGCTTTGGGTGTCATTTTGATGTCAAACAGCAAATATCTGCCAAACATTCCCTGCATGTCCGCAACTGGATGAAAATAAATATTTGGCGCATAGTGAAAAAGAACGTAGAAGGAATTTCTGGAAATAATAATAAGTGAAGAAAATAATAATTGGGAGGGAGGGAGGGAGAGAGGGAGAGAGAGAGCACACACTGGGAATTAATGAGTGAATAGGGTGGTCCAGAACCCACATATATATATATATATATACACCAATCTGCATAAATGAGCAAAGATTACACACAGAGAAGAGGATGTTTAAAGTGAGTTTTTTATCCCCTTATCAGCACAATTAAGCACACAATCCGCAGACAGGTTAGCGTATCTTGACTACGAGTGCTTGCAATCAGTTTCTCAGCACAACATAATTCCCAAGCTGCTAAGTACGTGTCATATATTTTAACACCCAACAGACAATGCTTTGCAGTATTTGCGACTTCCTTGAATGTTAATGTGTCTATAGGTCTCAAAGGATGTGATTCCTGTACAGCTTCAGTTAATGCAGTATGAAGTGTTTGTGTTAAATGTTGGCTTTTAAGAAAATCAAAATACAAAATGGTAAAAGACAATGATATGTAGCAGAAAGTACAATCTCTGTGATTGCAATGTGTGCTATTGAAATCCTGAATGAAACCTCTAACATGCCTGAAGTTGTTTCTTCAATAATGACTCCAGGATCTAGTATTCAACTTGCTATTGATATGTAGATCAAAACACACTAAATTCTTAGTTAGCAGCACAAATAAATGTAAGGCATTTGTTTAATCAGAGTCAAGTGCTTCCTTTACGTATTCTAGCACCTCAGAAAACAACTGAAGTTATTTTTTAAATGATCAATAGCAGGTATAATGAAGTGGAAACTTAACAAAAATAATCAGGACCAAAAAAAAATGGGCTGTCTGCAAAATTCAGTACCCTGTTTCTATTATAAAGATGGGAATTACGGATGTGAAACAAGGTTAAAATATTTGCCAGTTCAGAGTATTGTCCTTATTCTAGTTTGCATTTGTGATGATATCACATAGCTGAATGAAAATCTGACGCAACCCAACTTCCACTATGCCTATTGCTAGGAAATAAACTGCTGATGAGCAAGAAGAATATTGGGTTCTACTAAATCTTAAGTCCTTCAAACACTAGTTGGTCATAAGCAGGATGGGAACACCCCCCACCCAAAAGAAAAACCTGACAGCTTCAACTCTTTTCTGATCTAACTCATATTTCTCTGCTGTGGCAAGAGTGCACTATGGGTGTTTGGCATCCTGGATGGGTTTGTAGCAGTGATTTGATAGAAAATGGTGTTGCTTTGGTGTGTGTGTGGGGGGGGCAGCAATTACTGGTATAGTAATTGCCTCTCCTAAAAGGTAAATGCCCTCAATAAGTCAACCACTTTGAGAGATTATAGTGCAGGAGAAACACTTTTGTCTGAGAGAGAATTATAGAGCAGCAAGAGGTACCTTTTCCAGGCAGGGTGCTCACTTGAGATTGCACAAAGAGTAAAAATTGCCAAGAAAATGTTCAGCCTAAGCCCCATTGAAACAAAACACAGTTGATCGAGAGTTGTGCTCTTGTTCAAATCCCATCCATGTTGATGAGCTGCCCAGAGGAGGAAATGTGACTGGCCAATTGTGCCATTACAAAAATAGTGTACATGTGGAAGCATTGTTAAAAGCCTACATGGGTCTACATCTGTTCCAAGTGAAAGACACAACGGCATCTATTGGATCAGAATCCAGTAAGCACAAATCATTTTTTTCCTACTGTTTTGAATGCAAATGGTCCTTATCTTTTCCTATATCAACCTGCACTTCCTCCAAGTAGCCCTTCACATTTTATCCTAACAGCCCTCTGTGGTAGGCTAGGTTGACAGTGATGGGCCCAAAGTGACCCAGTAACACTACATGGTGATGAGGGATTTTTGAACCAGTGGTCTCCATACCTTAGTTCATAATGGCACCATACCCTACTCTTGCTGGGTGGCTGTTGCAACCCCTCACAGATAGCACTCCATTCACAAGGTGCAAGGAGTCACGTCCCAGTGGCCAACCTTCTAAATTTCCTGCTCAGCTGCATTGCAAGGCAGGATAGCCCACCAAAACAAAAGTTAAACTGCTGAATCATGGGCAGCCAATGAGTGGAGCCTGCTCCGCCGACTATGAATAATAATAATAATAATAATAATAATAATAATAATAATAATACTTTATTTTTATTATTTATACCCCGCTCATCTGGCTGGGTTTCCCCAGCCACACTGGGCGGCTCCCAACAGAATATTAAAAACACAATAAAACATCATCAAACATTAAAAACTTCCCTAAACAGGGCTGCCTTCAGATGTCTTCTAAAAGTCAAATAGTTATTTATTTCCTTGACATCTGATGGGAGGGCGTTCCATAGGGCGGGTGCCACTACTGAGAAAGCCCTCTGCCTGGTTCCCTGTAGCTTCACTTCTCACAGGGAGGGAACCGCCAGAAGGCCCTCAGAGCTGGACCACAGTGTCTGGGCTGAACGATGGGGGTGGAGATGCTCCTTCAGGTACACTGGGTATTTATACAATATTTTAGAGTTTCAAGTCTTACTATAATGCTATTTACAGCACATCTTCTATCAAGATACCCTGGAGGCCATTTGGAACGGAGTTTGGTGTTAGCAAAGCGATGTAAGCATAAGCCATTTACACAATTAGAAAACAGAAGTAATATTTCAATTTATTTATTCTCTGTGTTTATTTTAGGATAGTTCTTAATCACTGTCAATAAAGTCAATGAGTACTGAACTAAGTGCAAACTTGGATTTGCATTTAGAAACTTGCTGTACATTCAGAAATTTAAACTTTAATGTTCAGTTATAACAGGAGAATTTAGCTTTGGCTGGGAATGGATGAGGAATACAAACACTTGCATTTTGGTGACGGAAACTGAAGAATACCCAAGTGCAGAATCTCCTTGAAGTTTGAGGAATACACTATTAACAAGTGAATATTTAATAGTACCTTCAAGAGTAAACAGAAGCTAAGCATTTACCTTCAGTTCGGTCTGATAGCTTTCCACCCTTACTTGTTGTTCCAGCATTTACAGTTTCAGAGGATGTGCTTAGTTTGGTATTGGGATCTCGTTTCGGTTTCGGTGGGGGTTGTTTGCGGGAGCAGCTACTGCTTTCATCATCGGTGCCTCCAACAGAATGAAGCGACTGGGATCTCACGGAAAAGCCACTCGAACAAGGATGAGGCAGTCTGTCCTGAGGGGCGGGCATTGTCATAAATCCCATGCGGAAATGCTTGCCAATGTAGCTTCCTTCATTTCCTCTCACCACTTCACCACCTAAGCTGTAAGGAAAGTAAAACACACGTGCATATATATGAAGCTGATAAAGCTATTTGGATGCCTAACAAAATAATAATAATGATAATTCTCCTGTTAAGCAATTTACCCCTGAATTACAGAAAATGCTTTGAACTTATTTGACCCTATAACACACACACACACTGCAACTAGTTATACTTTAGTTAAAATACAAAGTTCTTACACATGGCATAGATTCAGATTTGCTTTGTTATTGCCACTCCGCCCATGCACCCACCCAGCCTAAACACCCATGAAATAGATTTTCCAGCTTTACTCACAATAAAAATTTGCTCTCACCACACCAATTTGTTTTATTGATAAGAAATACATTGGAATACATTGGGTTTACAACGTAGAACCCCACTAATTGATGATATGATCATGGACATTCAGAAATCATAAAACAATGCAGCTACATAAGAACATGGATCATTCCCAAAACATAATATTGATTGTGCTTGAATTTTGCTGCCACCCTTGCCAGTGTCTCCTGCCACACCAGTGTGCGCCACACCATTTGAGAACCACTGAATTCTAGATGATTCTAGATGCATTTGGATCCAGGGCCATCTTACCCATAGGCGCTAGGAGTGTGGGGCACCTGGGTGCTGGGCTCTCAGGGGCACCAGGCCAAGAGTCCGGGGCCTGAGAGTTGAGTCCAGAGAAGAGTCCATCTGTCAGTCAGAGTGCTGCAGCGGGCTCTTCTGCTGCGGGCAGCTCTGTGCCGTGAATTTGGGGGTGACCCAGCCAGCGAGATGCTGAGGCGGCCGGCCAGCTCTGCCCTCCTGCATGCCTGGGACTGGGCAACCTGGGGGGGGGGGTTGCCAGGTGGATCTTTGCACCCTGGCACTGCATGTGTTTAAGACAGCCCTGTTTGGATCCCACACTTTCTGATGAGGTTATCCTGCCTTTCCCTCCCTAAACATGCCCCAGACAAATTAAGAAGGAAGTAGTGATTGTGATCTTGCTATAATGCCCACCCACAACATTATCAGGAAAGCGCTGGGACTGCTTAAATCTGTTTTCAAATTGACATTGTGGTGTAATGCAGAATCAATCTGCAATGAGCTTTTATTTTCGGAATGAGACCAGTTTCTCAGAAGTGCTTTTCCAGGGGCGAGCAAAATAATCATTAGATCTTGACTGTATGTACAAGTACAGTGGTACCTCTGGTTACATACGCTTCAGGTTACAAATGCTTCAGGTTACACACTCTGCTAACCCAGAAATAGTGCTTCAGGTTAAGAACTTCAGGATAAGAACAGAAATCGGGCTCCTGCGGCGCGGCGGCAGCAGGAGGCCCCATTAGCTAAAGTGGTGCATGCACACAGCATTTTATTTTCAAATTGATGGAGGCTGAGTACAGTGGTACCTCAGGTTAAGTACTTAATTCATTCTGGAAGTCCGTACTTAACCTGAAACTGTTCTTAACCTGAATCATCACTTTAGCTAATGGGGCCTCCTGCTGCCACTGCGCCACCGCTGCACTATTTCTGTTCTCATCCTGAAGCAAAGTTCTTAACCTGAAGCACTATTTCTGGGTTAGCGGAGTCTGTAACCTGAAGTTTATGTAACCTGAGGTACCACTGTGTATATATCTATATATCTATATATCTATAGATATAGATATATATAGCAGCTCACTAAATTTTTACTGCTTCTATTTTTATCTGGCATCTAGTAAATCCCACACTATTACCTACAGATTATCACCAAAAGTCAAACACGAGCCCCCCAAAGTTCCCTGTGCTTTGCTTTTTTGTCGCAGCCTTCATTTTGCCCTGCCCAGTGATGTAAAGAGTTCATCTGATCTTCCCGACTGTAAATAGCAGGGCTGACTAGCCGAAGCCTGCTTTGTAGCAAGAGGAGGAAAGTGAGATTTATGTGGCACTTTCCTGTAAAGGAAAATGAAGACAGCGAGTAGAAATGATTGCGTAGATGATCTCATTCCATTACTTTTGACAGAAAGGGGACTGTGCTCTTACTGTTCAGATGATAAGCTCGAGCTCGTTTCAAAATTATATTATATGAGTTGCCAAAAAAAAAAAAAGTGGCGTGGCTTATTAATATATATGGAAATGCATATTTGGATTATTCCCCTGAGAGCTTTTCATTTGGGCTTGGTCAGGTTCAAACTGCTTTTATGACAAGGAAAAACGATCGGCTGAAGTACAGCATGGGAAAGGTTACTTTAAAAAGGGGAGGTGGGGAAAAACATTTGTCAGGAAAGAAAAGTAAGAGGACAGTTTTCAGACCACTTACCCCAGAGTAATCTTACTGAAGGTTACTATTGAACACATGCTTTGAGGTGTTGCATTCTCATATCTTCATGATGATAAGCATTATGGTTTGATGAATTAGCCCATGGGTAGGCAAACTAAGGCCCGGGGGCTGGATCTGGCCCAATCACCTTCTCAATCGGGCCCGCAGATGGTCTGGGAATCAGCGTGTTTTTACATGAGTAGAATGTGTCCTTTTATTTAAAATGTATCTCTGGGTTTTTTGTGGGGCCTGCCTGGTGTTTTTACATGAGTAGAATGTGTCCTTTTATTTAAAATGCATCTCTGGGTTATTTGTGGGGCATAGGAATTCATTCTTCCCCCCACAAAAAAATATAGTCCGGGACCCCACAAGGTCTGAGGGACAGTGGACCATCCTCCTGCTGAAAAAGTTTGCTGACCCCTGATTAGGGTGATATTCAACATTAGTAATAATCAGAGTAGACCTAGTGAAACTGATGTGCTTAGACTGAGTAAACTCTGCAAATGACTAACGCTGGATTCCAACCTATGTTTGGCGTTGCTGGAATTCTGCCATCCTAAATAACTTATTGGATTGAAATACCCATGCTACAAAGTTATTCAACCATGGATCCCCAGATGGTCTCTCAGCGTCACTCACCTCACAGAGTGTTTATTGTGGGGGAGGAAGGGAAAGGAGAATGTTAGCCACTTTGAGACTCCTTAAAAAGGTAAAGGGACCCCTGACCATTAGGTCCGGTCGTGACTGACTCTGGGGTTGTGGCGCTCATCTCGCTTTATTGGCTGAGGGAGCAGGCGTACAGCTTCTGGGTCACGTGGCCAGCATGACTAAGCCACTTCTGGTGAACCAGAGAAGCGCACAGAAATGCTGTTTACCTTCTCGCTGGTTATCTACTTGTACTTTGACGTGCTTTCGAACTGCTAGGTTGGCAGGAGCAGGGACCGAGCAACGGGAGCTCACCCCGTCGCGGGGATTCGAAGCGCTGACCTTCTGATCGGCAAGTCCTAGGCTCTGTGGTTTAACCCACAGTGTCACCCGTGTCCTTTGAGACTCCTTAGGGTAGTGATAAAGCGGGGTATCAAATCCAAACTCTTCTTCTATAACTCCTGGCATCCATGACTATTGACAGCTGGCTGGAAGTTGTAGTCCAACACCATCTGGGAACCCCAGGTGGTCTATTGGTTTTGGCTGGCCCTGATATCAGAACCATATAGCTGAGAGTGGTCCCCCTAGCAACAAGAAACTTTTCACATCTGACCTACGAAGCCTCAAGTGGCTTAGGACCAAAATATCTCATGGTTGCCACTTCCACAACCTGGATCCTACATTCACCATCTGAGGTTCTTCTCTGTGTGACCCTTCTGAGGGAGGTGCAGAGTGGGACAACACAAGAATGGGACTTTTCAGTGGTGGCTCCTTGGTTATGGGACAGGAAAGCACGACCGATGCCATCAGTATTCCATTTGCCAGGCAAAAACATTTCTTTTCTGCCAGGCCTTTGGAGGGTTTTGATATTCATGGCCTTCTTTAGTGCCTTTCATAAATATGCTTTTTATATTTAAATATGAATGTATTTTCAGTTTTAAATCTGTTTCAGTGTTATGTTGGCTTTCAGTTATGCACTACCTGTCAGTTACTTTTTTTGCAGGGGGAAAGTGACTTGTAAGTGCAATTTTTGTTGTTGTTGTTGTTGTTGTTGTTGTTTCTGTTGTTTAAAAACTGATACTACCAGGGGACTCATGCCAACTCCAGGTACATTAGCAGGACAAAGCTCAGTTTAAGCGGAGTGTGTATGGGGGAGGGGCAGAGGCTACATCAAAATGCCAATCACCTCAATGCCATATTCTGTCACACACCATAATACCCAGACTAACACACACATCACCACACCACTTAAGAATATATCTAAATACTGTTTGCGATTGAGGAGGGTAGTTTGTGATTTTCCCCTTTTCTCTTCTTTGAGCCCAAGAGTTTCATTATTTTATTCTCCCTTTTTCTGTATTATGGCATTGCTAGATTTGGCAGAAACCTCATTAGGCAGCTGTAAACCGAACGTGATACGATTATGCAATTTTCACCCTTTAGAAATTTTAAGATGTCTTGGAAATTTCCTTTCTTTAAATGTTAAAGAACTGATGCAGGATATGATACTACCATGACACCAGAATGTTACAGACCTAATTTGTTTTCTAAACTGACCACCAGTTTCTACCTTCTACACTGCCCCGGAGCTTTTTCTTATTAATTCAGATCTATAATATGATGGTTTCTTGCCTCAGGCTTTACCATTATTCTGTGTTTCATGTCCTTTTGTCTAAAATTTATTTTCTCCTTCTGTGAACCCATGCCTGATATTTAAGTGCCACATACATTTCATTAGAGACACCAATTTCCTATCTAGCTAGTGGATACCTTCTGGATATTTTGATCCATGATCCATCATGTGCAGAAGCATATTTCATTGTTGCGCAGGAACTAATTCATTCATACTTACATGCTTCTTGATCCTTCAAGTTGCTTTACACTTCAAAGTAGAGCTGCACAATTTTTGACTGGTTTTTAACAAGATCTTTTAAAGGCATGGAATGACTCCTGCAAGTCGCTCCAGTTCCTGCACAGATGTGCTAATACGCTGGCTGAATAATGCATGCAGGAGTGTGTTGTGGTTCATTTTATGTTCCAAAAAGTTAGAAAAATGGGTGAATTGGGTCTTGGC